TGACAAATGCAGTCCTTGAGAGTAGCGGTTTTTCCAGGAATCCAATCGCAATCAGGTTTTTTTTTCAATCTGTTCACAATCCGGCAACGCTATCGTTACCTTTTCGCATAGGGAAATATGTTGCACGTGTAGATTGCTCACAGGGAAATGAGATTAATATTGCAGGATGAACGGTGTTGCATGCAAAGAATTGACCAGAACGGTTAATTCATTGACGAAGTATGTCATTGGGATACGGAATCTGCATTTGACATCAACTAATTACGCATCTGTCTTTATGAAACGACAGAAGAAAATGGACCCAGAGGTTGCGAAACAGCGGGAAGCTCGTAAACGGTAACAGAAACTCGCTGATCTTCATTTCTTCATATGAGTTTTTCCTGTCTAAATTATTTCTTAGTAATCATAATGCTATGGATAAACACAATGTTGGTAATAGATGTGGATTTATGATCAGAAGTAATGTAAGCAAATTAAATTCGAGTATGAAAAGAGAGCGGATGCTAATATGAACAGAAAATATTGGTGGAAAGTATATCTTTACAGAAAGAAGTTGGAAAGAGAGATAAGAGCAATGCAAAAACACAGTAAAAAACCGAAGCCAGTAGATGAGATGGCTGTTGACATTATATCGATGAAAAATATTCACGAAAGGTATCGTCCAAGAGTGGAGGTTAATCGTTCATCTAGAAAACTTCTTCTCATTTATAAAAACAAAACTTATGTTCAAAAATACGTTTGCTCTGAACTAATAATTAGAGTGTCATGCATAGCATCACTGTCCCCTTAGAAGAATTCAGCTATTATATGGTTTCAGATATCGGAACAAGAGATAGATAGGAGAGCAATTGCTGAAAAGAGTTATGCACGATCACGTAACAAATTAATGCAGTTAGATGATAACTGGATCAGAGACAGTATTGCTAAACAAGACAAGGCAATGAACGAACTGAAGGTTGCCATCGTTAATGTGCTTATTGCATTGTTGCTAGTCGTTTCACTTATATTCATAAATAAACTGAAAAATCATGAAGACGGTTTCATTTCGAGGAATATTCTGATATTAATAGTGACAAACTGAAATCAGTACTATTAACTATGACAGTATGCCAATCGCAGTCAGTTTCAGGAGCTTTCTCCAGAACTGTATGAAGCGGCCATTCAACCGGATATAAAACTGGTTCAAGGTGTGATTCTAAATGGACCGGCTGATACGCCGCCTTTGCCTGATTATCAGTCTCCAGATGGCGATTATATTGATACGACCCGAACATGGGTTTAATCATGTCACATATAAATGTATTTAAATACGCGTAGATGTTCTGCCGATAAAAAAATTTCATTTTCAGCGTTTTTGACTGCTTTTCCATGCATCTTATCGCTATTCTTTGCGTCCAGCTCTTCATGTTAAGTGTATGTAACGTGTTACATACTGAATGCTTTTCCCAGCCAAAATATAAGCCACCAATGATATATGAAAGCCAAAAAGTATGTCACCACAAAATGATACGTCTGCGGAGTTTTCGCATCTTCCAGTAGTCATCCTTGAAAGTGGTTGATCTCAACGTGATTGTGTTCAAGTAATATTCACACAATTCTGTGACCATAACTTAACGTTTAAACGTGTGGCGGCAACCGTTGTATACGCAATGCCGCGAACAGGAGTGACGACACTACAAAACTTTTGTTAACTGCCCACTGAAAAACGAAACCCGAGGTGGTCTAGACATGTAATTATTTATCCACTTATTCCTCCTCAGGTGGTAAAGGACAAATATTACTGAATGTAAATGAACTGAGAATGGATGGTGTAATTCAAGCCGATTACATTAACAAAACTAAATAAAATGCCATGTTGCATCAAATATCGAAATTGCGGGATTTTCAGAACTCTACTCCCGGGATAGGGATTGTAAAGTGGGATCCTGAAGTCCCACTAGCAGTAAATTTTCACAACACTCCGCATACTTAGTTTTGTGATAGATCTTACTGACATTAACTTGGACTGAAGAATGATGATGTAGAGGGCTTACTCATTTAGAATGGTTCAAAGTGAACGAGATCAAGTCA